GGAAGGCGGGGGACCTGGCAGCTACAGCGGTACTGCGTAACGGGGGTGGGGCTGCCAGGTCTCTTCCTGGCTGCGGCTTCAGGCGTGGAATTCTGGAAATACCGAGGATGTTCAGTTCGTCCCTTTGAAGTAGAAACTAATCATAGGACTTTACAATGTCTGAAGTGGACCCTCACGAGGAAACAACAAATTAAGGCACTTGGTGTAATGCTGCAAATAGTACCACATAACCGCTACTGTAGAATTTCATCCCATTCTAAATTTCCTTTCCGCTATTTGGGTGTGTCTGCATATGGGGTATACCTCAAAGTGTGGCTTTTAGGAACATATGATTGTCCAGTGATTTTTGTGCAGGGGATTTCCACATAGCTAGGACCATTTCGGGCAAATTTAATACCAGGGGGATGAGATTAGCTGCAGGCACTGGCAACCCCGGCCCTATGTGGGTGAATCTGCCCTTTTCTATGTGGTGGTGGGCCGCTGGAGTAGCGGCCCACATCCAGAGGCGGGGCTTTCCCAGAGATGCTGGGGGCATTTATAGAATACAGCACCCGAGAGAATTATGGAAAAAACACGTTTCAATTTACAGGCGCCGCCTGTCTATGATAGAAAAATTACGAACCTTTTTTTTTCTCCATAATTCTTGTTTCCATAATTGTTTTTTCCACAATTCTGTCGGTGACTGTATGTCCATCGATTCGCAATTTGAATGCATTTTAAGGGGGAATATTGAATTATAGAAAATATGTGTCTAAAGATCTGGTATATGCCCCTAAGTCTTCCATTGGTATACATAATATCATGTGATGTTCGCAATTTGAATGCATTTTAAGGGGGAATATTGAATTATAGAAAATATGTGTCTAAAGATCTGGTATATGCCCCTAAAGCCTGCCATTGATATACATAACAACTGCACCACCAAAACTCATTGTTGTACGTACATACATATGCGGGATGTTTCCTTTTGCCAAGCCACCAATTGGGTTGATACTACATACTTGCATTTGCATACATATTTCCATAACCCAAAAAAAACGGGTTTGAATTGTGGATCCATGACATGTCCAACAGGTGGAGCCCCAAACATTAATTATGGAAAAAATAATTATGGAAAAACCGGTCAATCTGCCCTAGCCCCCTGATTTCACAGGAAAAATCAATTATGGAAATAATGGCCACCTCCAAGAATTATGGAAAAAAAAAGGTTCGGATCACTTCCGGGATATTTTGAACCCTTATGGGGAAAAATCCAATTATGGAAAAATCGGACGCAGGCGCCGCCTGTCTAAATTGAACGTTTTTTTTTCCATAATTCTGTCGGTTACCATACATCAATATTTGGCATATTTTGGCATGTAAAAGCATGGTTTCCAATTTTTCCATTCGATTGAATCCATTGAGCTTTGTTGCTTTCATGTTGCATTTTTCTTTGCGCACCCGCTGTCATCTCCTTCTGTCATAGCTTGTCTTGAATTTGAATAAGCGTTCTGAGACTGTTTTTTTCATCTTGGCCTTCAGGATCCAAGATTCTTCTTCTCGCCTTTTGTTCATGTTTCCTCTTCCGTTTTTCACGAAGGATTACGTCTACTATCTGAGCTGTTTGTGCTTTAGCACTCTTTTCTTTTTAGGGGCAGTGCGAGTCACAGGATTGTTTTCTCTTGGTTTCTGCCAGAATCCTGCAAGGAGGTTGCCCTAAAATTGTTGGAGGCTAAATGCTGAATTCCCGGTTTGCGCATGGAGTGAATTTCGCATCCGTTTTTTTCCCTGCATTTTCAAAATCCTGGTCTGATCACTTTTTGCCATCACATCCAAAAAGGTTGACATTTCATTACTTTCCGTCTTTGTTGTGTCCATGCATCCTGCTCTCGTGGTTTCCAGATCCGATCTTCTTAGGCATTACTTCGTATAGATCAGAGTCCTTTTCATCCTTATCCGCATCCTCCTCCTCTTCATCATCACCATCAAAATGATCATCACGATGATCATCATCATTCTTCGTTTTCATTTTTGCCCCAGGCTCTGCTTGCGTTTATTCGCATCACTATCGGTAATTAACCTGGAATACGTGTTTCCAAAGCAGTTCCATCACCAAAAAAGGGTCTGGTGGATCTATGATGATCTATGTAGTTTGGTGACTTTGGTCAAGGTGTGCCTTGCTCAACTGAGCAACGCCACAACTCCCAGACCCTCAAGAAATGGCATTCATTTCTTGGTGGACTGTCCCACTTCGTAAGTGCTTAAAAAACTTAGTAAGTTCCCTGCCTGGGTCACCCCCTCTATAAATGTTTATAACTAGTTATAACATATTATAACTAGTTAGGACCATGGTTACGAACCAAGTACGAAGTGGGATGATCCTCCAGCATGGCTCATGGGACTCACTGGAGCTGTGCCAGGGCCAAAGAGCTCGCCCAAGGAGGCACAGGAAGATGATTGCATTTCATTGAAGGATTTGTCGTTTTTGTTTGGGGGAAATTTGAGAATGACAAATCACTATAAAGCCATATAAAGCCAATTTGGGCTGGATTCCCTGTTCGGGTTTAACCGCTCAAATCCAAACATTTGGTCTTTTGGTTTGTTTCCCCCTTTCAGACAGACACCGTTCGATGTTGGAGTTGATGCGTGTTTCAGGGATTTTTCCACACATCCGAAATTTCGACTCATGCTTCCATGTTCTTTTTTTTTTTCGGGGGTGTGGTGTGCAATACGATATGATTAAACAGGGTGAATAGGTGGTCTTTGGTATTGTGTCACGCACATGAATGTATTGGATAACAATTTTTTTGTGGGCATCAGTGGCGGGTGCATGCATATGGGGCGATGGGTCAAACGCATTCAACATGTATATGTATATATATAATATATATATATATGCTAGCCCCCCCCTAAGATCTACTTTTGATGCTCTTCTGGAGACGTACATGGTCAAACTCACTGCACACTTCAGTTAAGTGTGCAGTGAGTTCACCAGACATGATCAAACTCACTGCGCACTTCAGTTAAGTGCGCAGTGAGTTTGATCACTTGAAATTTTGTGAGCAGATGTGGATCTACTTTTGATGCTCTCCAAGAGACATACATGGTCAAACTCACCGCACACTTCAGTTAAGTGTGCAGAAAGATCACCAGACATGATCAAACTCAATGCACACTTCAATTAAGTGTGCAGTGAGTTTGATCGCTTGAAATTTTGTGAGCAGATGTGGATCTACTTTTGATGCTCTTCAAGAGACATACATGTTCAAACTCACTGCACACTTCAGTTAAGTGTGCAGAAAGATCACCAGACATGATCAAACTCACTGCACACTTCAGTTAAGTGTGCAGTGAGTTTGATCACTTGAAATTTTGTGAGCAGATGTGGATCTACTTTTGATGCTCTTCAAGAGACATACATGGTCAAACTCACTGCACACTTCAGTTAAGTGTGCAGTGAGTTCACCAGACATGATCAAACTCACTGCACACTTCAATTAAGTTTGCAGTGAATGCAGATCTTGTCTAGGCTGAAGAGTGGTGGGCTTGACGCATCCATTGCATTGCAAGGGAATAGATTGCAAACGTTGTCTAGACCACTGAGGTGAAAGGATGCAGATCTTGTCTCTACTACAGAGTGGTGGGCTTGACACATCCATTGCATTGCAAGGGAATAGATTGCAAACGTTGTCTAGACCACTGAGGTGAAAGGATGCAGATCTTGTCTCTACTGCAGAGTGGTGGGCTTGACACATCCATTGCATTGCAAGGGAATAGATTGCAAACGTTGTCTAGACCACTGAGGTGAAAGGATGCAGATCTTGTCTCTACTACAGAGTGGTGGGCTTGACGCATCCATTGCATTGCAAGGGAATAGATCGCAAACGTTGTCTAGACCACTGAGGTGAAAGGATGCAGATCTTGTCTCTACTGTGAGCTGTAGGCATTCCCTGGCAGTTCCTTTCTCATTCCGCAGCTCTCCTCTATTTGCTCTCTGGATATTTCATAGCTAGCTCCTCAGCTGTCTTACTTTATACTTATTGTCTCTACTGCAGAGTGGTGGGCTTGACACATCCATTGCATTGAATAGATTGCAAACGTTGTCTAGACCACTGAGGTGAAAGGATGCAGATCTTGTCTCTACTACAGAGTGGTGGGCTTGACACATCCATTGCATTGCAAGGGAATAGATTGCAAACGTTGTCTAGACCACTGAGGTGAAAGGATGCAGATCTTGTCCCTACTGTGAGCTGTAGGGATTCCCTGGCAGTTCCTTTCTCATTCCGCAGCTCTCCTCTATTTGCTCTCTGGATATTTCATAGCTAGCTCCTCAGCTGTCTTACTTTACGCTTAGAGTTTTCTTGATTTGGGTTGAATCTTAGGAAATACAAAAAAACCAAAACCTCGAGAAAACCAAAAAACCAAAACTTTTCAGATAATGTTTGGTCTGAGGCTCATGTTTGTTTTGTTTGGTTTTGCCTAGTTTTTTTTTGTTTTTTTGGTCTTGACCTTGAAAAACCTAAAAAAACTCAAGTTTTTTGTTTTTTAGATAAAATGATGGTTACGGTAAAAGAATTGTGAAAAACAAAAAAAACTCAATGTTTTTTTTGGTTTTTCATTGCGCAGCCAAAAAGAAACTAAAGCCACACACACCCAAAAACCAAAAAAAAACCCTGAGTTTTTTTGGTTTTTCACAATTCTTTAACTATCATTTTATCCAAAAAAACACAATTACCTTGAGTTTTTTTGTTTTTTCAAGGTCAAGACCAAAAAACCAAACAAACCTGGGCAAAACCAAAAAAACCAAACATGAGCCTCAGACCAAACATTCTCTGAAAAGTTTTGTTTTTTTGTTTTTTGGTTTTCTCGAGTTTTTTTTTGATTTTGTCATTGGGGCTTTCCCAAAGAGTCTCCAAATATTGTTTTTTGTTGGTTTTTTCGAGTTTTTTTTTGGATTTTCCCCATGGTTTCTCTCCCAAAGAGTCGTCACATATTGTTTTTTTGTTTCCAACTTGTTTTGATAGTGTGCACAGCTACTACCCACAAGACATCTTAAAAAAATATCTGACTCTTATACATATATGCACATAAGTATATATATATATTATATGTATATATATATATACATGTAGAGACAATATATCAAAATGCTGTGAGGTAGATCTCAAGGGGGGGTACCATATATATATATATATATGTACATTTGAATACATTTGGCCCGCTGGAGTTATTGCTGGGATCGGTCACAATCTTCATTTTCGATATTCATGGGGGGATGAACATCCAGCTAGAGGATTTGTTTGATGCGAGGGGGAGGGTAGCAAGGTTTTGATTTGATCCATAATCATGTGCAAGAATATGCATGACCTGCCGTTTCGGGGTTTCTTAAGATGGGGGTGGCCCAAAAATCATCCAAAACAAGGCATTTACAATAGGTAAACCACTCGTTTTAGAGTCACCAGTTTTAATTGAACGGCCACTGTTAATACAACCATCAAAGTCGATTAACATCCATTCAGATCCCCGTAAAATCTCATAACATCCCGCAATTTTTTTCCAGAGAAACGAAGCCGGCGCAGGAACCTCTGTCGCGGCTTGAAGACCTGCTCCCACTGCAAGCACGATGCTGACAAAGATGACCGAGGACTTCGCAACATGCCACTGGGATGAACTTAAAAAATGTGGATTCAAAATCATCTCCCTTTGAGTGGGAGTCCAGGTGAAATATATAATCAACAAGATGATGTTTGACCGACAATGCTTTAAACATGCCTTCAAACACATAACTGGTGATCATGAAGTGTGGATAATTTGATAAACATACTGATATCAAAATACAAAAGACGGTATTTTTGTACCATCCGGTTTTTCACAGACAGCTGGTTTGTTGCAGCTCCGGGGGAAAACACGGTTCTTAGCCAGAGGCTGGAATGGGGGTCCGAATTTCGACACGACGCCACTTGCCATCATTGAATCATCAAAGGCCAGGTTTTACAGGTTCCTGCCAGAGGTGCAGCAGTTGGAGAGCGGATTGGAAGAGCTCTTGCCACAGTTGGTGCCATGGCAACGTTTCAGGGGGTGTTCCATAGTGGGGGTAGCATGAAATCCATTAAATGGTTGCTTTATAATGGAAAATCTGAAAATAACATGGATGATTCAATGGGTACCCCATGACTTTGGAAACCTCCATAATATGGATTTTAATTGAAAATGATGTGATAACTCGAAAATCCACTGGTTGATCACGATGTTTCCTCTTGGAATCTTAGATGCGGGCATGCTCATTTTCAGACACACCCATTTTGTAGCTTTATGTAGCTTTAACTACTGGGGAATTGTTCAGTGACTGACGACCCTAAACCAATGGAAAAGTCGGTGAGCGGCGTGAACCAGAACGGATCAGAACCGATTCCTCAGAAACAGAGCACTAAATTGTCGGCTTAGTTCCCCAAGTAGACTTGGAAGAAATAATTCCGATGGTTGGACAACAACTGTAGGTCACTAAGAGTTCCGTGCCCTTGAACTTTCTTCACGTGGTGCTGGGAAAGGATGCATTCCCTTCAGTGACTGTCATCCTTGCAAGTTGGTTTTCCCGAAGATAGTCGATATTTGGGATGTGTCATTGCCAAGCACCCTCAGGGCTAGGTGCCTTAGTCAAGATATAGGCAGATGAATTGATAAAGTGAACATCTGCGTACAGGCACGTAAAAAGGGGTGCTCACACTGTCACCTGGTATCATTCGAGAATGTTAGAGAGAGAGAGAGATATATATATATATATAGTGACGCACATCCATATCCACCACGGGCAGAAAACTTGAACCGCTCCTTTCATTTTGCTGAGGTAGTGCATCACTGCATGCGAGAGGGGTTTTCATTGGGCCCCGCACCTGCTGCAGAGGCCAGGGAGCCAGGGTGGGTTACTGCTTTGAAGGGACCAATCGTGGGTGAGATTAGATGAACAATTTGTTGGGTTTGGATCCTGAGTCAACCTTGGATAGTTTTATAGATTTTATAGATTATAGTCATTATAGTTATAGACATTGATCTTTTTTGCAATCTCATCCGCCAGACCATGGCTGTTTTGTGCAGGTATCTAAGATTGGCTACAATTCATCGGCAAAACTGACATGTCAGCTAAGACTGCTATTAAAATTATTAAATAATCAAATTCAGGGTATTCATTTTTGTACAGTTAGTTAACAGCTTACCACAAATCATGTATCAAAATTGGATAAGATCAGCAATTGGTCGGCAAACCTCCTATAATTTTAGACAGTCCCACGCTCCCATGATTTGTTGGTTCTACATTCCCATGATATACCCTTTACTCGCTGGATCAGCCCGCTTAGCAAGTGGTTAGTAAGTGGGATTGGTCTACCACTCGCTATGAATGGGGTAGTTAGTTTTGAAAATCAAGGGTAGGTGCTTCAGATTATGTGTTTAAATGGGTTAAGTGGTTCAATAATACCCAATTGATTCAATCATCTAGGATGGTGGAATCAGGTGAAAGTCTGAATCAGTACTCTTTCTGGTGAGTTGAACAAACTGATTTGATGGGTATGGAATCTTTGCTCGTTGAAACTTGCCCTCGCAATATTTGATTATCAATATAGTTTAAGTCTCCAGGTTTGTTGAATCTCTGCCCCAGGAAAGAGGGGAATACAAAACCAACCCAAACCAGCAATGAACCATTGGATAATGGAAAACTTGCCGCAAAACCTGCTATTTTGCAGATTTTCCCTGAAGAAGGAACAAAGTAAGGGTATTTGGTAGGGGGAGGGAACTAATATCTTTTTACGCTGGTATGCGCATGGTTCGGGCCTATTCTACCTTGAGTTTTGCTTTACGAAGTAAAGGGGAGGGCGGCCAGCCCCGTTACCTGATTATTCAGGAGATTGCTAGTCATTTCAGTACCCCCCCCACCCTCCCCCCCGTACGTTCGACACTTGGAGGCTATATCGCAAGCCAAGAGGCTATGGATCAAGACTAATCAAAAGGCAGCGAAGCAAACCATAGGCGCAAAATGGACGCAACTGATTCCGCCTGCTTCGGGCTGCAATAGGCTTTCCAGAAAGACATGCCGATGAAGCCGCTGGACCCGCTGGCGCCGATCAGGCCAATTGAGCCGATGAGGCCGCTGGAGCCGCTGGAGCCGCTGACGCTGATGGAGCCGATGAGGCCGATGAGGCCGATGGAGCCGATGAGGCCGATGAGGCCGATGAGGCCGATGGAGGTGCTGGAGGCGATGGAGCCGCTGGAGCCGATGACGCCGCTGGGGCCGATGAAGCCGATGAGGCCGATGAGGCCGATGAGGCCGATGAGGCCGATGGAGCCGCTGGAGCCGATGGAGCCGCTGGAGCCGATGAGGCCGATGGAGCCGATGAGGCCGATGGAGCCGCTGGAGCCGATGAGGCCGATGAGGCCGATGAGGCCGATGGAGCCGATGGAGCCACTGGAGCCGATGAGGCCATGGAGCCGATGAGGCCGATGGAGCCGATGAGGCCGATGGAGCTGCTGGAGCCGATGAGGCCGATGGAGCCGATGAGGCCGATGAAGCCGCTGGAGCCGATGAGGCCGATGGAGCCGAGCCATGAGGCCGATGGGGCCGAGCCGATGAGGCCGATGGAGGTAGTGGAGCCGATGAGGCCGATGGAGCCGCTGGAGCCGATGGAGCCGATGAGGCCGATGCACCGCATGGAGCCGATGAGGCCGATGGAGCCGATGAGGCCCCCCGAGCCGCTGGATGGAGCCACTGGAGCCGATGAGGCCATGGAGCCGATGAGGCCGATGGAGCCGATGAGGCCGATGGAGCCGCTGGAGCCGATGAGGCCGATGGAGCCGATGAGGCCGATGGAGCTGCTGGAGACAATGAAGCCGATGGAGCCGAGCCATGAGGCCGATGGGGCCGAGCCGATGAGGCCGATGGAGGTATAGTGGAGCCGATGAGGCCGATGGAGCCGCTGGAGCCGATGGAGCCGATGGAGCCGATGCACCGCATGGAGCCGATGAGGCCGATGGAGCCGATGAGGCCCCTCGAGCCGCTGGAGCCGCTGGAGCCGATCAGGCCGATGGAGCCGCTGAGGCCGATGGAGCCGATGAGGCCGATGGAGCTGACGCAGGCCGATGGAGTCGCTGGAGCTGTTGAGGCCGATGGAGCCGATGAGGCCGATGGAGTCGCTGGAGCCGCTGGAGCCGATGAGGCCGATGGACGCTGGAGCCGATGAGGCCGATGAGGCCGATGAGGCCGATGGAGCCTCGATGAGGCCGCTCAAGCCGCTGGAGCCGATGAGGCCGATGGAGCCGAGCCGATGAGGCCGATGGAGCCGATGGAGCCGATGAGGCCGATGGACAGGCCGATGGACAGGCCGATGGACAGGCCGGTGGACCAGGTGCGCCACAATGCAAAGCACCCATGCTCTGAAAGTGGCGCTTGGCGCCGGAGATAAATCCTATATGCAGTATTGCCAGTCAGTATAAAGAGAGTTGCAGGTTACAGCTGCGCTACATGTATCGAGACACCTTAACCCATTCCACCCTGCCTACATGCACAAGAAGTGGTGCCGCAAAATCGACGCCAACCGTCAATGGCACCCCTCCCCCCCCTCCACGCCTCCCACGCACCCTAAGAGCAGACTCAAAACATTGTAATTCTTACAGTATTTTTATTTTTTTCGGATCACGAAACCACATTTTGTTACATGGTGAAACCCCGTAAATACCAGCGTTTGTGCTAGGTGCTGGCCAAAAAACATTGTAAATACCGTGTTTTTTGCCACCAGAGGTAAAAAAAATATCGTACATACCGTGGTGTTGAGCTTCCGACCCGTCAAAAACATCCGTATTTACAGTGTTTGTTGGTCCGCGAGTTGTAAAAACACGCGAAAACACCACCTATATGACGATTTTCGGCCACTACGGAACCGAGAAAAAAAGCTGCAGGGGTAACAACAACAGCAACAGCAACAGCAACAACAACAACAACAACAGCAACAGCAACAGCAACAGCAACAGCAACAGCAACAGCAACAGCAACAGCAACAGCAACAGCAGCAACAGCAGCAACAGCAACAGCAACAGCAACAGCAACAGCAACAGCAACAACAACAACAACAACAACAACAACAACCACAACCACAACCACAACCACAACCACAACCACAACCACAACAACAGCAACAGCAACAGCAACAGCAACAGCAACCACAACCACAACCACAACCACAATCACAATCACAATCCCAATCACAACCACAGCAGCAACACCAAGACCAACACCAACAAACACAACCACAACAACAATAACGACAACAACAACAACAACAACACCAACAACATCAATAACGCCAACACCACCAACACGACCAACAACACCAACACCACCAACACCACCAACACTACCAGCACCAACAACAAACCCAACCCACACCATCAGCACTAACAACACCAACACCACCAACACCAACAACACCAACAACACCAACACCAACAACACCAACAACCCTTTCTTGCTCACCTACCTTTCGTGTTCCCCCTTTCAAGTTATCGCTGTATACCAATTTTTTGGGTTGAAACGATGTTTCTTTCAGCTTCGCAGCTCTCAACAGATGAACTACATATCATAGTATTACAACTTTTCAATTATGAACCATTCATAGTTGTAACCAATATATTAACTATTACCCAGATAAATAACAATCATTCTAGAATCATTAATGGTATGTAAACCATTATCTACCAAAAATAGAATACCCCATGAAAAACCGGGCTGCCCAGGAAGTGACTGCAACTACCTTCTGCTGGCTAAAAAGTTGTTTTTGGGTTGGTTTAGGATTTACTCAGGAGTGGTTCATGGTTGATTTAGGGCTGGTATTAGGGTTTACTTAGTCACTTAGTTACTTCGTTTTTGTCTCTAAAAGGGGATGTAAGATCTAGAATTTGATTACCAGCAACATGAGGGGCCAAAAATGGAGGGGGGATTCACATTCACCTCACCAAAGTAGGGGATGAGATTCGGTTGGACAGTTCATCCCCAACAATAAGTCAGAATCTGCCACACTTCAATCAGAATTCAACTTTGCCACCTGAAAACACCTTTTTGAGCGGTAGAAGAAATGTGAGGTTCTCAACTTGGACTGTGAAACGTTCGGATCCGAGAAGATCAGCTGAAGCACACAGTGTTGGGTGGTTATTCCCCTCAGTGCCATAGGTTGTGGGGTTCCATTTTTCGACCCTGGCTGCAGCTAAGCTCTGATCGTTTAGAGCTTGGGCCCATCCGCTATGGCCTGGATGGCGCGCTCCTTGGCAGATGCAAGCGGCTTCCCTCCAATGGAGTTAAGCGCCTCTAAATCCCAGTTCCTTGAAGAAATCCCAGTTATTTTCGATTTGTTCGATTTCAACTGGTATTTTGGGGGACCATCTTTTCAGAAACCAGGTGGGAAGGGCCGAACTTGGAACTACATGCAAGTCGTCCAACCTCCCGACACAGAATTGATGGAGACTAGTATTTGAGGAGTGCTCTTTCCAGTGCATACAATCTCGCAAATGCATAGGTGCATAGAACATACCTTATCCTGGATTGGTCTGTTTTGCAGTCAAGAAAACAGGGACAGGACGAACGCTCCCACCAAATAAAGTGTAAGCTGTCGAACTAGAGTAACTAGAGGTGGTGCTTGGATGCACATCCCATTTGGTACGCGGTTTCAAGCCCCGCAACCCTGTCATATATGGAGTGTTAACACATTCACGGTTCCTGTGATGCACATCGAAATGGACCTGTCCGAAAATGGGGTGGATCCCACCAACAACATCTTCGTCGGAAGATGATGATCAAGAATGGCACTGTTCCCCAACATTTACAGACAAACCCAGATACAGAATTTATCCTCAACAACAAGATGTGGAATCCCTATAAGCTATAACGAGATAAACAATATCTCTATGCATGTACACACACGTATATATATACATATATATATATATATATGTATATATATATATATATGTATATATATATGAACATGCAGCTTCACATAAATCATCACTATCTCCCTGCAAAATGGCTGGCTTCATCCCCCATTGAAAGCAAGAAATTCTGTACCAAGGCTTGGAGGAGTCCGGCACCATTGCTGGACGCTTCCAGAGACGGTTCCTTGGGCGGTTATGGTGTCCGATTTTCCCGCAAGAAGGGTTTCCACCAGCTCTAGATGGCATGAATTTATTAGAAGTAACTAGGATAAAAGTGGGCTCCATGCCAGCGTGCGCTTGCAGCTGGTTAGGGGCCCCATGGTCCACCATTGCATGTTTTTAAGCAAAAGCAGATCTTCAAACAGTGTCGCACCTGAAAAGATTCTGGAAGTCCTCGTTTTGAAGGGACACATTATTCCCTTAGGCAGAGCAAACTTGCATGGCATGCTGCAATGCTTTACAGAACATGTCCATCGAATTGATAGCATCGCAGATCCATTTAAAGGGGATTTTCATGGATTTTCCATTGCGATGTTTTATTACCAAAAGGTTAGCGTTTCTTTGATTTGGGAAACAGAGATTGTGATCATTCATACGCAGTTGGGTGCCATATGCGGCACAGTAGGTCCTTTGTGAGAAGTGCCATGGGATTGGAAGGTGATTGTACCATTTGGAGGGTGCCATTTTGAGGTTTCGCATCAAACTTTCGAGTATACAGGGGACATCTCAATTTTTGGCTATATGCGTGTGGACCAATACCCACCGATCCAAGCCCTCGACGTCAAAGGTGATACAAATCCGATCTACATCCAATACCTTTAATACCCTCCTCCCCCAGAAAAAAAGGGCAAATCCATTGCTTTCGGTCTATTCATGCTGATCCCTTCCATAGACTTCCCAGGAGCGCGCGGAATGCCTGGCTGGCAGTTCCCTTGCTACTTTGTGCTGCTCAGGCGGGCTGGGTCATGCCATTGAGTTGCCAAGCCACCAATCTGTCAATGAACCAACGTTTTTTTTTCAACCATGGGGTACACCCCCCAGTGGCCGTTTCAATAGGGAAAATTATGATTCAAATTTGGAGGTACACCATTTTCAGACAAGACATGACAAAAAACAATCTTTCACATGGGATGGCTTAGCACTGCCAGGAAGCCAGGGCGATCGGCAGTGGACTGGTTCAAGTTGTTTTGGAATTCCGAAATGCCAATAGTATCCTCTTAACCCACCCAAACCTATGTTTCACAGTTTCACCATGTTATAAGTGCTTTATAATATCTGTTTTATCTTCATATGCTGACATCTCATCTCGCTTATCACCAAGACGGGTACAGCATGGATCTATGGAATCTATGGTTGGGCGGAAATACGATGTTTTCCCACCACAGACTTGGAGAAACACACCCACTAAGCATGTGGGCAACAACCAACGGGTGATATTGTTAATATATACATCATTATATATACATGTTGTTTTTGTCATTCCATATCTGGGTACCACTTGGACAGCCGCATATGAGCACCAACATGGGATGATTCATGACTGAATGTCCAGACTGTTTGTGATCCGCAGAGCCGAAAGGAGTCGATGAATCCCTTCATCGAAGTTCATAAAGACTTGATGGAAGTCTTTTCCGAATGATAGAAAAAGTGCATTTCTCACCATGGTTCACTTTTCTATCATTTAGACCCTTGAAGTCACCTACAGTCACTTCTGGTGCTATGGATGGATTGTGGTCACTACGTTTTGTTTTAGTGGGAATTGAATGGATTTTCCGATTTACCACATATCCCACTGAAATAATCAACGATCAACATTTCTATTCAAACTAATAAGGCTTGTCCCAGAATGGAACTTTCCTGTCACGTTTCTTGCAGGCCTTTGTCTCTGGTGCGACTTCATGGCAGGATGGGAGCAACGGCTTTCGTCCGTCGATTTTTCAAATGGGGCTTTCTCAAAGTGCCCCCGAAAATGAATAGGGATTGCATATGTTTATGATTTTATGGGTCCATTTTAAGTTATCATAAATCCAAAGTTATATCATATTGCAAATATGTTTATGGATTTCAGTGGGGTTTCCCCAATGATTTCAGTGGGGCAGACCATGGTAATTGGGGTGTCGCCATGGGGACGCCAAGACGCCAAGACCCAGAAATTGGTGTTTCCCTCGGCTCGTGGGCATCTAAAGTGCCAAATCAGGTTGGCAGTCTGGCAGGGACAGGGCATGTTTTGGTCAATGCGGGACATAGAGCTGGGTTTGTCTGGAAATGGGGCATCAGTTTGATTTTTACAGGTGCATTTTCAACCAAAGTGTTTGAATAGATACACACAAACCATTCAAATCGGGGATGGAGAATTTCACATCCAGAAATTCCAGAAATACGGCACCCATTCCGGCCATGAAAACTTCAGTTCTGATCTTCTCCCGGCCACTGGACTCAGGCGTCAAGACGACATGGTCGTATTGCCAGACACGGAGTGGAGGAGTGGAGTGGATTGCACCTGTTACGTGTGGTTACGGCGTAGCGGGCGAACTGGCTCACATTTGTAGAAACACAGACTAGTTACTAAGTTACTAAGTTACTAGTAGTGTCAGATGATAATAATTCAATGATGACTTCCATTTGAATGATGTTGAATCTGAATGTATCTTTCGGCATTAGGACTACATTTTGAGGCCTTTTGGCGACGGAGATGTCGCTGCCTGGTCAATCCAAATCCCCTATGAAGCCGCAGAGAGTCCCCTAGATACGTTGGTTCATAATCCTGCTGTCTAGGATTCGAAGTTTTTTATTTAGTAATTAATGAAATAATTCATGTATACTTATATATACATAATATTATGTACGATTATATATGTGTATATATATATATATGTAACATGTATTGATTATATAATATAACAAGTATAGCCAATGGTGTCGCTGGCAGTAATTCACTGTCTCACGCATTCCTGGTGATTTTATTGTATTTTTTAAAAGTTCCTGGATTTTGCAAGTTGTATGCTGCTTTTCCGGTTGATAGCCATTGGGATCAATTGGAAGCAACTGTTAGCAATATCAATTGTTCGCAATGAGCATTTGTTTGATCGGGTTCAGAATGAATGGATTTCATTTATCCTAACCATATTTGTTTGTTTCTGACCGAAACAAACAACGGTATGGGTCAAAATTCGGCACCCTTAGAACGGATTATTTACTCGTCAGAATAGACTGCGCTCGTTTAATTATATTCCCATGTTTATCCATCACATACATATATATATATATATATAGACATATGACATATATATATATATTTATAATATACAAGATGAGATTAAGATAAGGTAAGATAAGATAAGATAGACACTGTACATAGATAGACAGATAGATGACCTCCTTTCAATCACCATCCATTTCATTGTGGGTGGTTATCTTTCACCTTCTTGTTAGTTTAAAATACCACGATATTCCCACCATATCGCCTGTGAGGAGCTTTATGCCGAAGGCATGTCGTGCTTGAAGTCAGGGTCGGGGGCCCCACTTTCCGCATCTTTAACAGTTGTGCTTGATGGTGCCTCCCGGCTGCATAATGGCTAAGTCGGCTAAGGTAGGTACTTTACCAGCAAACATGCTGGATTTCATGGGATTTAGTTGGCTGGTTATTTCACTATGAATTTAATGGTACATTGCATATATCGAGTTGATGGGGTTTATACCTCAACGAACATAAGTGGTGGGGACTACCAGTACTACCAGTACAGTTAAAGTCAAACATTTCAGGACTGGAGATGGGCTGGTGACTTTTTGGGGTCCGAAACTGGCCCACTTTGTGGCACCCCTGATTGAAAGGTATATCATGAAATGAAGACATCACTTTTACCAAGGGAACACTGTATCTTTTGATGATTTACACGGGTGATGAAAGGATTGCTTTTGCAGCTCTTTCAAAATAGTTTACCTTATTGGGGGTGTAGCAATCTCTCAATACTGTCTCGCTCACACTGACTATTTGTTGGTTTTACTGTTTTGTTGTGTCTGTTGGCACCTTCGTTTGGATGAAAAAAATGGCAGAGACATAGGCATGATGATGTTTATGAAGAATTACCACCAACAACTTACTGACAATAATAAGACTGCTTCCATTGATTTTCAAAAAACATATGTTTAGATCAAATGAAAACACGAAAAACATCATGTCAGGAATGGGAAAAAACCCAAAAAATAGTTTCGAACCAACTTCCAGCCAACTTCAACAACGTCGATAACTTCCAGTTACAACTTACTTGTGAATGCCAACGAATTATGACATTCAGCCTTACTAACAAAATATAAGTTGCCCCACTTGAATCCCGACCATTCAGAACATGGTTCCATGTTTTTTTTGCGCGAATGAGGGATCAAGGTTCGGGTGGTTTCCTGAGTCATGGTGGTAGCCCCAAATCATAAATCATCCATGTTAGGACTTTCCATGAAAACCATGAAAAGCTATTGGGTACCATGACAGTAGGAAACCCTCTAAAATGATTTTTCAATCGTCCCGTTTTCCTGATGGTATGTGGTTGCTTGTCCACCTGACAGCAAGGTCAGACTTGGCCAGAGGTGTGCGATGTATGCAGGAGGTGGGGTTTTGCGAAAGCTGGAGGTCTTCGGAAGTCTTGAAGGAGGGATTTAGCCAATTAGAATCGGAGTTCATCATCCAAGAAAACATTTCATGATCATGCATTGTGAAACATTGGAATGTAATGCTCAAAAATTAGGATCTACCTCATAGATGTCATGTTCCCATGCTTTTTAGAAGCACAGTGACCCCCACCATTTATGGTTTTCAAACCTGTCCATCCACTCTCCATGGGGCATTGATGGAGATGGATATCAGTAGGTGCCATAATTGATGGAATCCAAGCAACCAGATGATTTTTTCCGCAACATCAGATGGCTGGGTTGTGAACAACCAATGCGGAGATAGAAAGTGCAAAAGTGGGGTCTCAACAAGAAAAATCATAGGTATTGGCAAGTCTTAGAATGTAAGGGCCATTTTTATTGTGGATGTATCTAGTGAATCTAGTGAACTGGTGGGTGTAACCAATAACTTGGGCAGGATCAACTACCATCTGTGGCTTGTGGGGTAGATTTTTGTTGAAAATTCGGACCCCTGACAGACCGTACTTTCGGAATGGCATGCACAAAGGGTCGAGAGTCCGCTGCTTCCCAACTATTTGCCAATTGTTTCCCAGTTGCATTCCTCGGTTCCTCTAGTGGAAGGCTTCGGAGAAGGGATTCGCGCCAGCAGATACCGTGCTTGGCAGCGCTTACGCGGAGTACCTGGGCCTTCCAAAACCTGGGGAGTGTGAAATTTCACCGGAATTTTCCAAATTTCTGGGGATTTTGATTGATCCAATTGATTTTACCGTCAAGAATTGGGTTGAAGTTCACATTATGTAATCAATGGATTTGGTGATCTGTCCAGAAGATGTTTGCCAAACTTGTAGCAATTTTGATTGGTTTCAAAAACAGCAAAATTATTTGCAGGCTTTTGGATTTTTCCTCAAAATTTCAGTCAAAGCTGGGCGGGCGTTTTGATGCAGTAGTAGAGATGACCAATTCTGTAGGTCCCAAACTGTGCAGCGTTCGTTCCCAAGTTGGCCAAATTGGCTACCCGCCCAGAGGGTATCAAAGGCTAGCTGTGACATGGATACTCGGGCGGTAAAGCATTGGATTTTGGTGTACTCTATTTTCGCAGACAGATAATATAATATACTATAATATAATATACTATAATATAATATACTATAATATAATATACTATAATATAATATTATATTCTATTATATTATATTATAATATTATATTCTATTGTATTATAATATTATATTATATTATTCTATTCTATTCTATTATATTATATTATATGATATTATATTATATCATATTATATTATATTATACTATATTATATTATATTATATTACATTTTATTATATTATATCATATTATATTATATATAGATATATGTAAATGTACTTGTAGTCATGTGGAAGCAGACAATCTATCTTGGAGTGTCTCAGATGTTTGATCCAACTTTTGCTGGATGTGTTCCATGAACCAAAACTGCCATGGAATGGAATTGCATTTCACGGTGACTTGTGTCAGTGCTAAATACTGTTTTATTGGATCGCAAGCTTCATGATTCTTCATGATGTTTTAAACAAACGCAACAAACCGAGACTTCTTGCTTTTGTGCGCAAGAACTATTGATGTTTGCTAATTTTTGGCCACATTCTATGGCTGGATTTTCCTCAACAACAACACATTACCCGACCAGCAGGTTGCCGTTGCCCGACCGCGCTACCGCGCTCAGGGGGATGTTCGGCGTCCCAAGGGACTTGGACCAAGCCAAGTATTACCTGGAGAGAGGAGCTGAGGCCGTTGGGGAATTCCTCTGGTGTCAGAATTATGATGATATGGTACATCTATGATGAATAATTAGCAAATCATGAACAGAAAATGATGAATTCTGATGGTCATGATTTACCCCAGATCATGATTCTTAATCCCGGTCCAAGATCATAATACAACCACATCCAAGTTGACCCTGATGGAATGTACTGTACTGGGCTTGGCTTCTGTTCACCTTGGGCGAACTGTGGTCCCAAGATAGACATCGGTCAACCATTTGAAGGAGCGACATGAAGGATCTGAGCTGGTCCTTTTAATATGCGGATTGCCTGGTAGGTACATAATCTAGTTTATGTTTGAATTTATCCCAGTTGGTATGTAGTTAAGTAATGTTAAGTAACATGCCACTTCACCCAGGCTTACATACATATATATTTAATATGTATATATGTATATGTACATATGGGCTGTACATCTATATAGAGACAGTGGTTACTGATCACTTACCCTTGCAGATTGTTTTGTGGGCCTCCACATGCCGTTGATCGATACCGGTTTGATTGGCTACTCTGTAGAGTAACTGGCTGAATGCTGATTGAAACTCATGAGGGTTTGTCCGAAATTTTTGGAAAATTCAAAAAACCAATGGATTATTTTTTTTCCCAGTATTTTTTTGCATCCACTTTCCCACGAAAAATTACAATTTTGGTCCATGACTTGGGTGGTTAAATCCCCCATTTTTGACGTGGCCAGCCATGCAAATCTCGCGTCGGTTTTGCTGCGCCCCGCGTTGCTAGGGAGGTGACAACAGGGCACATTTCAACCTCGGCATCCTGAAACTCCGTGGGAAGAACGGTTTCCCACAGGTGGCATTCAGGGTTGCTTGCAGGTGAATGTGGATGAAAACAAACATGTGGATTTACCCTCCAATAAACTAACATAGATATGTAAACCCACCATTTAGAGATTGTTTCTTTTGGAAAACCATGGGTTTTCCGTATTTATGTTACGTATTAGTTTGCTGGAGGGTACGTTAGCACTTTGTTTGACAGGAATTGCAGTGAATGTGTCAAATGTAGTCTTTGGACCATTGATGCTACAAAGTTCAGTGCTGCTGTAGTGGGTGTACTATGATGTACTTTTCCGCTGTATGTTGTCAGACAATACAAAGTTTCGGGTTGACATCTGACAACATCCAAATTTGGATGCGATGTACTTTTGTTAAAAACATCATGCTTACCGGTTCTTTTCAATTACTACCCAGTACATCCCAGGACACTGTCATCGCTATGAAAATCCACGGCTTTTCCCTTGGAAACGATCTACAAACTGTGGATTTTTCCATATTTTCCATATGTTGGTTTATTGGAGGGTATCGGGTATCCACGGGTGACAAGACGGTGATACGGTGGGCTGTGGTGACCATCGTTAGGACAAGAGGGCCGCAGCAACACACTTCCGCATCGCCGGCGAGGTCCTGCCAGATGCGAGAAGTAGACGACTGGGTACTGGGACTTCACCACAAGGTCTCCATAATATCTAGTCTATATATGTATATATATAATTTAATTACAATTATGTACATATGATGTAGATGTAGATGTAGCTATATTATACATCTTTACCGGTCCATACATTATACATAGTGAGTCTAAACATTGGAGGGAAAGATACGCACAAATGATGTTTAGCAAGGGGAACCTCCCTTTTTGACAGATTTATATGCAGATGTATGACATTATGTTGACCAATCTTTCACCAAACATGGCCAAAGCACATGTAGGCAAATATACGATGCATGGAGCATTTTGTTGCTGCAAGGGGAACACTGACAACGTGTTTTTAAATGCACTTGACAACGCCTACTTTGTAGTTATTGTGCAAAGTCATGCAAAGTCTACTTTGTAGTTCTTTGTAGTTATTGTGTATGTTGGAGAAAAACGACACCCATACCCATCATTGTTAACCATCCTCACAATTGGATACAATGAGTTTCATTTTTCCAACACCCAGCTGAGACTATCATTCTCAGAGGCTATGTCGGCTATGTCCCTGCTTTTTTGTTGCTTTATTCCCAATTTGCCAAGCATGTGCCAACCATTTGCCCAGCATTCAGCCGAGACTTTTAAGCCGTCACTGTGTAAGGCACGATGCTAAGGAGAGAACGCTCTCCGGGCAATGGTAAATTTGATAAATCGTTAATTTCTTTAAATTTCGCCGCTCTTCGGGCCATGGTAAATTGGATAAATCAGTAAAGTGGTAAATTTTGCTGTGTCCGGGCAAAGGTAAATTCGGTAAATCGGTAAATCTGTAGTTTTTAATTTCGTAGTATATATCATGATACAACTTTATGGATTTACCGTTTTACGGTTTTACCGCCTCTTCCTGCTCACGCTGCAGTACATTGATACATTATGCCTTTACGGGTTTGCGGTAAATTTTGTTTACGGTAAATTTTTGCAAATTTACCAAATTTACCGTTTTACGCTCCGAAAGCGGCACGCTCAGATCGTAAATTTACGAATTTACCGTTTTACGGGGCGTTTCTCGGGAACAATGGAATTTACCATTTTACGGTTTTACCGTTTTACGGCGCGCCTTAGCAAACGACGTGCCTTAGACCCGCGCCTTACACACAGACACCACAGGTGTCGAAACTTCACAGGTCCACTTAGCATCATCATCCGTTTGTGGAGCCTGCAATCTTCGTTTGGGTTTGTCTAAACATACGGTACCCGATTCCATCGGCGAAGAAATCATATTCCCGGCCATAACATGGCCACAAATTGGATGGCAAGTCCCGGATTACGGAAAGCGTTTCCAAGGCTTGGAAGTTTTTCCGGTAGGTGAAAAGGGGGGGGTGTGGGGGGGGCGGTACAGATTTGCAGATTTTGGGGTTCCAAATGGGTGTTGAGGAGGTGGAAAAAACACTGTAAATTACAGTAAAATGTGCTCTTTGGGGAGAATTACAAGGAGTCAAGTTGCTGCAAAAAGTGTGTTTTACCTGCACGAGAGCCAAATTTTGTCGTTTTTGTTGTTTCGAGGGAGGCGGACCCAAAACGTGCTATGTGTAAAAAACACTGCAAATACCGTGAAAAACTGGCTTGGAAACATGTTGTCATACAACTTTTGCACTTTGATGTCCTTTCTTCCTTTACATAGTCCCAAGACGGCGCAACATAGCCCCAAGATAGGCCAACACAGATCCAAGATGGCCCAACATTGAACTCAGGAACGCCCAACATAGTCCCGAGATGGGCCAACATAGGCCCAAGACGACCCAACAAACCCCAACATAGTCCCAACATAGTCCCAAGATGGTCCAACATAAACCTAAAATAAAGTGAACATAGGCCCGAAGCAACCCCGGGGAGGCAACATAGTCTCAAGATGGGCCAAAGACAACCCAACAAAACCCAGCATAGGCCCAAAACAACTCAACAAAACCCAACCTAGTCCCAACATAGTCCCAAGATGGGCCAACATAGACCCAAAATAAAGTGAACATAGGCCCCAGTTTGGCTATATTAGTTTTCCTCCTCTAGAAAAGGGGGGAGTGGGGGAGGACGGTGTAGGTGAGTGCGGGGGCCCGGTTTGACGAATGTTTGGCCGCTGCATCATCCACTTGGTTAAGAGTTCATGTACTCACAACGACATTAAGACAGTACGAGCAACAAAGCAACAAACGGAACATTGACGGAAAGCGTTTCAAACGCTTGGAAGTTTGCCAGTAGGTGAAAAGGGGGGGTGGGGGGGCGGCACAGATTGCAGATTTTGAGGTTCCAAATGGGTGTTCAGGAGGTGCAAAAAAAAACTGTAAATTGCAGTAAGAATTGCTTTTTGGGCAGAATTACAAGGAGTCAAGTTGCTGCAAAAAGTGTGTTTTACCTGCACGAGAGCCAAATTTTGTCGTTTTTGTTGTTTCGAGGGAGGCGGACCTAAAACGTGCTATGTGTAAAAAACACTGCAAATACCGTGAAAAAACTGGCTTGTAAACATGTTTTCATACAACTTTTGCACTTTGATGTCTTTTCTTCCTTCTACATAGCCCCAAGACGGCGCACCATAGCCCCAAGATAGGCCAACACAGGGCCAAGATGGCCCAACATAGAACCCAGGAACGCCCAACATAGTCCCGAGATGGGCCAGCATAGGCCCAAGACGACCCAACAAAACCCAACATAGTCCCAACATAGTCCCAAGATGGCCCAACATAAACCTAAAATAAAGTGAACGTAGGCCCAAAGCAACCCCGGGGGGGCAACATAGTCCCAAGATGGGCCAAAGACAACCCAACAAAACCCAACATAGGCCCAAGACAACTCAACAAAACCCAACATAGTCCCAACATAGTCCCAAGATGGGCCAACATAAGCCCAAAATAAAGTGAACATAGGCCCAAAGCAACCCAACAGTAGCTGCAACAAATAAGCTTTCACGTGTGTTTGGCTATATTAGTTATTCCTCCTCTAGAAAAGGGGAGTGGGGGGGGACGGTATATGTGAGTGCGGGGGCCCGGTTTGACGAATGTTTGGCCGCTGCATCCACTTGGTTAAGAGTTCATGTACTCACAACGACATTAAGACAGTACGAGCAACAAAGCAACAAACGCAACATACTAGCATATTGCGAGACGCACCGCGAAGAACAGCACCAACAACATCAACAACCTCAACAGCACAACAACCTCGAAGACAACGAGAACAGAAACAAGAACAACCAGAAGCACAACAAGAACACCAGCAAGAACAAGATTGGTAAAAAGCAGCGTCACGGTCACATCTACTCAAATTATAGATCACCATCGTGTTGCATTCGATACACTCTACACTACTGCTACTTCCAATCAACTCCTCATACGCGCTATATAGATACACCTATGGCCCTATGGCATCCAGCACATGCTGCTTCCAGCACCGTCTCACCACTCCCGCGCCATCGAAAAACAACATGGTGCCAATGCATGTCACATACTGGCACGCTTTCCGTTTTTTCCGAACTGGTTTGCAGACACTTTTATTCCCCCGCGTTTCATGAGCCTCAAATAGGCTTCATTGAAGCTTAATAAGTTAATGGCACCCCAATAAGGCCTTATGTGTTAGGGGAACCTTTTGGGGAGCACTCTTAGATGTCCGTGAATATTTTTCTTGTTGATCAAACTCGTATGATTGTTGTTATACTCCACATTTCAACACTCAAGTTGTAATGGTTGAATCCGAGAATGGTCAGGCGGGTCACCACGACGCCTTGATGAACCTCTCCCGGATGTTTGCGACGGTGGCCACAAACCCGAGCCGAGTAACGACCGTGGCATTTTGCTGACTTTTGGTGGGCTTACGTACCTTGAAAATCTTCGGTGAAGTGATTTAACAATGACAAGTTTATTGGGATTAACATGATTCTTCACCATGGGTTGACAATGAATAATTGTGATTGAATGAATAATGGAAATGTGTTTGTCTGAAAGCATGGAATTCTTGCAGTCTGGTGATTTTTTTTGATGATTGAGTGTGGGGATGCACCTCTGGTGCTGTTTCAGTCTGGCCGCCTGGCCCGATTAAAACTGGAAGCTGCCTTGCATGGTCCGACTCTTTCCGTAGGGTTTCTTTCATTTGGGTCTGTCTGAAAATAGGGCACCCCAAAACTTGGTGGGGTATCGTCAATTTCGCTATGACAATCGTAATTTTGAGATATATCCCATTTTCAGACATCCCCATATGATGCTGAAATATGCTGAAATCCTAATCTTTGAAAAAAATGATGGTTGATGCACCAAAGAAAAGTGGTTTGCATTCTTGGCTTCAACGTTTGAGAACCCCCTGGCGATGGGCACTTCAGTTCCCATGCAGGGTGATGGTATCCCACAAGATTCGCAGCAAGCTGCGCAGTGTATCATCAAGGTGCCTGGTCAGAGCGGCATACATGAGGATGGTCAAGACCTCTTATTACTAGTACCATATAGTACCATATGACTGGGGGGATAACCATCCATTCACCAACTATTTCAATGATTTTCAATGTATGTACCTAGGGTACCAGGGTTTTGACTCATAGCCAAGCCTGAAACTTAGGTTCCAGATGAGGGGAACCTATTGGGAATCATGAGTCATTCAACCCCGAAGATATTAAAGGCTAAAGGGATTGAATCTTCTAAGATGAAGAATTGAACTTGACCATCATAGACTGGGTCGACCGAAATATGTGATTCCCACAGCTGGAAGAAATGAGACGTAACATTGAATGTTTCACCACAGAACCATGCCCGTGGTGCAAAAGTTGATGACGCTGACTCATGCAACCCATGACGCCAACACGTTCTGAAACATGGGTTTTTGTTCAGCTGTTGCACAGGCCTACTCTGGAACATGTGACCAACAACGGTTGCTTTTTGTTTGTTGCCAAGCTGCAACTTCTTTTGGAAGGAGCATTGCAGCGCATGGGTTTGCCAAAAAATTAGGCACCCCAAATCCACTTGTTCAAACACAAAACAAATCCCACTATTTGATGGCCAAAAAAGGAGGCAAACTCGCCATTTCGGGTGGTTGGCTGAAGCTATTGGACTGGTCATTGCGATTGGGTCATCCGGTCCCTTGGGTCAGAAGAAAAATTGACAGCCATTTAGAGCAACATGATCAAACTGTTAATATGTGGGAGGATCCTTCAAGCTATCGACAGCC